AAATATGTCATGACTTTCCCAATGACCTAATATTAAATTATAGTTGACATTCAGTATTATTCAGCTTCAGCTTCAGGCATACACTGCAGAGGTCAGGCATCCACACCGTCCATGAAGTGGTCTCCCTAATAAGATAAGGGTCCATCGGATACCCTACAAAACCTTTATTGATTATATTTCCCAAACTGTCTCTCGTATCCCCGTGGCAATCTTGTGGTTACCAATTTGTGCTTTCTAATCCCCTCACCTTCTCCCTCATCCCCCACCCTCCTCCCATCTAGTAACCCTCAGTTTTTTCTCTATATCTCTGAGACTTTTCTGACTAGTTTGCTCATTTAATTCAGTTTTTTAGATTCCACATATAAATGAAATCATATGGTACTTGTCTTTCTCGGGCTGACTTATTTCACTTAACGTAATTGTCTCTAGGTCCATTCATATCATTGCAGATGGTAAGATTTCATTCTTCTTTAAAGCCGAGTAATACTCCATTGTATAAATGAACCACAGTTTCTTAATCCAGTTGTCTACCCATGGGCATTTCAGTTGTTTTCATGTTTTGGCTATTGTGAATAGTACTGCAATAAACATAGGGGTGCATATATTTTTTCAAAATTAGCGTTTTGGATTTCTCTGGATAGATACCTAAGAGTGAAATTGCTGGGTCATATGGTAGTTCCATTTCCAGTTTTTTGAGATACCTCCATACTGATTTCCATAGTGGCTGCACCAATCTGCAGTCCCACCAGCAGTGCACCAGGGTTCCCTTTTCTCCACAACCTCGCCAGCACTTGTTTGTTGATTTATTGATGATAGCCATTCTGACCTGAATGAGGTGGTATCTCATTGTGGTTTTTATTTGCATTTCTCTTATTATCAGTGAGGTTGAGCATTTTTTCATATGCCTGTTGGCCATCTGTGTGTCCTCTTTAGAGAAATGTCTCTTCATGTTCTCTGCCCCCGGTCCATAAATGTACTGAGACTTTGTTATTCACCTTTGGATCTCTATTGTCCGGCATGTCAGGAGAATATATATATACATGTATGTATATGTATATAATTGTTTTGTTTTTAGTTAATTTGACCACCTCTTTACTAATTTCTCTGCTAATGTTATAGGTAGGTAAGGCCCGAGAGAAGAAAACAGGAAGTGTTCCTTTCCCAGACGCAGCTTATGGAAGAGGAGGTGAATGAAAGGAACATGAATTTGTTCTTTTGTAAGGAACAGAAAAGAAGGGCATTCAGTGACACTGCTATTGGGTTGTCGGAAAAGTCAGTCATGACGCATTTTTACAACAACAAAAAAAAAAAAACAGAAAAAAATACGTCATGAGGCCGGCCGAGTGGCACGTTGGTTAGGAGTTGGCTTGGAACACCAGCTCTGAGCATCAACGCCCTGGTTCAGATCCCACATGAGGGCCAGTGACGCTGCGCCCTCTACAGCTAAAATGGTGAACAACAGCTCGACCTGAAGCTGGGCTGCCGTGAGTCACTGACAACGGCATTGGCTGCAGTGGGGCTGGCAGGCAGCAGGCGTGAGCTTTCGCAAGCTGCCCTGAGCCGCTGTGAACCGCCATCCAATGGCCGGCGAGCAACTGCCTCACCCAGGAAAAGTGCAATAATAATGCCAACATGGGTCAGTGAAGCAGGGTCAACTAGACCGAAGAACAAAAGGACAGCAACTTGTCTGTTCCCCTCCCCCAATTCCCAAATAAAATCTAAAAAAAAAAAAGAAACTACGTCATGACTTTTCCGACAACCCAATACAACATTTGCTCCTCAGAGGAGACAGTCTTATAGGTAGAAACTGAACAACTAGAACTTGACTCTGGTGAAAGTGAAACGTCCTCATCAATTGTTTCCTCCTACCTGCTAAGCCAGAAGAGGCTGACTGGGGGTGGGAGGCAGGAGGTAGAAAAGAAAAGGAATTAGTAGTATAGCTTGAATTTGTTCCTACATGAGTGACTTTTTTTTTTGAATCTCAGCTAAAAAAATAATGTAAATTTTGCATTTTGTTCTGTAGTATGATTGTTTTATAAAATTAATGTTTTAAATTGTTGACTACAGAATAGAAGTGATCCACATGTATCCTTTGGCTTCTAGAAATCCTGGCACACCTCCACACTGATCTGTGGCAAACTTGTTGCAGTCCCCTCCTTGGTAAAGCCGGTCCAATTTTTATCTCCTCAAATGTGGCTGCATCATGGTTTAATTTGGTACTTCTGTTCTTTATAAACACTAGGAAGCATCAGTACAGACTACAGCACTTTAATCAAGATCACATTGTGCTCTTGATTTACACTTACGAGGAAGAGGACAGAACACCAATGGGAATGTGTAACAATATGTAAACTAGTGAGGGAGTTAGTGGCTGGAGGAACCATCAGAGTGGAACTCACTAGGAAGGATTTGCAGACAACAGTTTTTCATGTAAAGGATTAAAGCCTGGCTTGGCAGAAGGGAGGAGGGAAGCGATTTCTTTCTACATAGGGAGAAGGGTACCTGTGAGCTCTTGGAGAAAGGAGTAATGAGGTGGTGGTTGTAACTGTAAACCATCAGACCTTTCCAGGATAGACAGCGTGAGCCAGTGGGAAGATCACTGGACTGGGTGATCCTGCTTGCACTTGGCTGTGATTTGCTGAGTGCAATTGGAGAAGTTAGTTAACCTTTCTAGACCTAGTTTCTTTATCTTTAAATTGAGGGAGTTGAAATAATATGATCTGTGATTACTTACCTTCCTCCTCCAGCACTCAGCAATCTGGGTTACCTATCAGACCAGATGGCCTGGGCCGTTTAGCTTGAGTGTTCAGCTTCTGTTACAATTGCAGTTTTGTAATTGCTGTTTACTTGAGAGTCTTCTGCAGTGATCAGGTTTAAAATATGAGCCATTCAGATCTTCCCTTTGCCTCTCATTTACTTCCGTCAGATCTTGAATTCGTGTTTCTCCTTTCCTGCTGTCTCACATTCAGTAAGTCCTTCAGAATCTTTTCTCCTGGGCTGTTGATGTACTTAACATTGCCTCACCTCACTAGAATTTATCTTAGGCATAGCAGTTAGATTAATCTCACTGTGCCTCTCCTATAAAAATAACTGTGGTGGATCTCCATTGTCTTCCAAAGAAAGGCCAGACTCAGTATCAGCTATCAATCTTAGCTCACATTACTTACCTCACACAATCTACAGAATAGTTAACCTGAACCTAATATCCTCGTGGTGTCTTTACTCATGTTGTCCCCTGCACCTGGATATGCCCTGCCTCTCCCCCATTGTCAAAACACAGTTTCCCATCTCAGGTGCTACCGTTTCCATGAAATCTGTCATGCTTCTGGCAACCAGAAGTAATCCTTTTCTTGCAACTCACATAAGCACCTACAGCACCTTTTCTGTACCTAATAGGACTAATTACTGTTTGTTTGTCATTTTTGTACTATCTTATTTCCCCCAACTAAACTAAGCTCCCCAGTGCTTAGGAAGTACTGTATTATCTAACACAGAATGGGTGCCCAGTAAATATTTACTGAAAGAATGAATCCTGATTAATTATAGTTCAGATCCTTGTTATCTGTGGTTGATAGTTTCTTATTTTTCTGGATAACCACTAACTAGAGCGTACAAAAGAACTCTGTCCAGAGAAATTAATAAGCTCATATGAGAATAAGAACCATTGCTATAGATGTATTAATAATTCCCAAATTTGTATTTAAGGCCAGTGTGTTTTCAAGCTTGAGCTTTGTCTTTGAATTTTGAGTTTCATTCACCTGGGGTTTGAAGGCAGTAGGCACCTTCCTTTTCAGTTGAACTACCTCAAGGGAGTTTGTATTTTGTTTATTTGTATCAGTTAGTATGTTTAGCAATTTTTTGATGCTGTGAAGTTTTTAGAGTGAGTGGTTACAAACTTAGGAATTTTTAAAAATAAAATAAATGGAACAATTTTTACAAAAGAAATGTGCCGTTTTTATAGTAGAAGCAGACTGTCGTCTTCAGTATACACTGTCGTGGAATAGCATCTTATGCACACCTCGTGCTTTCAGAACCATTAATAAGATCCTTGAAAGTTTGATTTGTAGATCTGGATAAATAAAGATCTGGTTATGAGCTGGTCAAACCATAAGCATAGTGGACCCTTGGAAAATAGTTTACACACCGAAGATAGTCAGCATGCTCGCTGAAAAATGTGGGCAAAGTTTGCATCGTTAGAGTTGAGGACTTAGAACATATTCCATCACCTCAGCAAGTAGCAGTTTATTATGGAAGACTGATAAGAAACATAGGATCTCCTAAAATTCCCCACTATCACTTTTTGACCCGGTAGCTCCTTTCAACTAATCTTTCTTAAGAGTTCTGTACTAAAACAAGCTTTGGCACATCTCCCTGAACCCCAAGGAAAGCAAATACATCTCACCTAGGATTAGACCATTAACCATTAACATAGACATTACCTCACTTCTCTTCAGATGATATAAGATTATCTCAGTTCTAGCAATCTCTGTCATCGGTCCTGTACGTAGATTAGTGTCCTCAAAATAAAAACTGCTGAAGTGCTAACCACCAGTGCTTTTTTCAAAATGTAGTAGTTCTTTAAAGCTTTTTCAGATGCTGTACCTGTTGAAACTGTTAAGTAAATGAAGAATACTTTCTAATTACATATTTGACCTTTTATTCTCTTGCCATTAAAATAGAAAGCAATACAGCATATTTATGTAAGTTAAACTCTAATGATTATGCCAGCATTGATATATATATCTTGTAGGATACAGATAAAAGGAATGGAGTTTACTAAGGAGTGATGTGAGAAGTAAACCCCATGGAAAAACAAAAAGTTAAACCCTAGTTGCTCTTCTAGCAGTAATTGATGGGCAGAGTTGAGCCTCGACAAGCACTTCTGCTCCACTGACCATTCAGTTGCAGGGGTGGGGGGTGAGGGAGGTAGAGATGGATATTTAAAAATCTCTGTGTTTGATCTCTCACCCCTGTCTCTCCTCATCCTCCTCCTCAGGAGTTAGAAGCAGCTCTCCACAGAGATGATGTAGACTTTATCAGTGACCTGATCGCCTGCTTGCTTCAGGGTTGCTATCAGCGAAGGGATATCACGTGAGTAATCCTGATCTGCTAAATTTCTTGCAAAGGAAACAGTCAACTAGTAATATTTCATGTCTCCTATAACAAACCAGAACTGATCATTACCCAGTACTATGTAACAGTGTAGACTTCAATATTTACAGGTGGATTCCCAAACCCTTTGCTTGACTTTTTCTGCAGTTGAGTTTTATTTCTATTATAATCCTTGAACTTTATTTACTTCACTTTCACAAATCAAGGCTTTTTACTTCTTGGATCCACCAGCTAACATTCACGTGTAGAATTTCTTTCTGTCAGCATATGCCTTTCTTTCTGATTTTTATTTCCAGTACTGGTAAAATGTTGCCAACAAATTAAAACTAGATTTTACTGTGTTTCTTCCTCTTGAGTATCTTCTGTTGTTCTCATAAACAGGAGTGTAGTTTTTAACATGGAGCTTTTAGGCTCCCTCACGCTGTAACTGCCAAGTAAACAGCTCTCCAGTACATTTGAGATGTGTAGAAAGTTGAAGCAGAATTTTATCTATGTAGCAGATAAAGGACCTTCTTGATACATAGGGCCTCACCCCTTGTTTTGACCCTAGCTTGATAGACATTTTCTTTGCTAGTATATTTCGACACAGAACAGAACTATAGGGCGTTATCCACTCTCCAAAAGCTGAGACACAATGGGGTTCCCAGCCTCTGCCCTCCAGTCCATACAGGGGCTTGGAGTGTTATGGTTTATATTTTCCAGACAGTTAAAAGATGGTATCTTAACTGCTTTTGTTAAATCTACTCTTTAGTTGTCTGTTAGCGCTGGAATAAACTTGTAGTTACAAGGTAAGAGGTTGATGAAATCAATGTCTTTTTGTTCAGGGTGGACATGTGTATTCCATAGGGAGAACTGTTACTCCTGGACTTAGTGTTCATCTTGTGACTTCTCCCACAGAACATCCAGGCTGTGCTAAGCAAAGAGTAGGCATAAAAGGGGAACTCATCTGAAATCTTACCACTCAAGCATAATAACCAAGTTTTGATTGTATTTTCTCCCATTCTCTTTTTGGGATGTCACTTTGGGGCTTGTGTGGTTTTTGTTTTTTTGTTTGTTTCGGGGTTTTTTGGGGGGGGCGGTTTTATTTTAAAGATTTTATAGGGGAATAGGGAGAGGAAACAGCGTTGGGGAATCAGGGAAGGGGAACAGACAAGTTGCTGTCCTTTTGTTCTTCAGTCTAGTTGTGGAGGACGTTGCTTCACTGGCGCATGTTGGTATTGTGATCATTGCACTCTTCCCAAGGGTGAGGCAGATCAGTTGCTGGCCATTGGACGGCGGCTCACAGCAGCTCACGCCGGCTGCTGGCTGCTCACGGTAGCTTAACGGCAGCCCACTGCAGCCTACACCATCACCGGTGACTCACGGCAGCCCAGCTCCAGGTCGAGCTGTTGTTCACCATTTTAGCTATAGAGGACGCAGCATCTCTGGCCCATGTGGAATCCGAACCAGGGCCCTGCTGCTCAAGCTTGCGCTCCCAAGCCAACTCTTAACCAACGAGCCACTTGACCGGCCCTTGTGTAGTTTTTTAAGTACAGTTGTAGTCATACAGCATATGTGATTTCACATTTTCATATCTTGCATTTTTTTTCATTATGATTATTTTTCTTATAGCCACCTTTTCTCTAAACATAATTGTCAAGTAATCCAATTTGGTAGATGAACATTTGTGCCTAGCTTTTAACTGTTGTAAACATGTTGTAATTCATAGCCTTGGACATAAAAATTTGCACACCTGGTGAATTACCTCTTTAGTTTAAATTTCTGGAAGTGTAGTCGTTCAAGCAAAACAAATGCCTATTTAAGGTATTTTAGATAAATTGCCAGGCTGCCCACCACAGAGTTTGCTCCATTTTACCTTTGAGGCACCAGTGCATGAGGGTATCTGTTTGCCTAAGCCACTCTGGACATGGCCAGCAGGTGCTAGGAGAACAGATACTCTGAGGGTCCTCACATAACTTACAGTCCTGTGCTGTAGTAATTACGGTCATGATGATATGATTGCAAATTATGCAGTCACCATGATAAGTGCTCCAAAGTCAATGAAGCATATGCCTGTGTGAGAAAGTGATAATGTGAACTGAGCCTGCATATAGGAGCCCTCTTAGGCCAGTGTCCACATATCATAAAGCCCAATAAAAAGTGAATGAATGACTGAATGAACCTACCAAAGAACTGCAGGTCGCAAGAGTGACTGTCTAGGCTTTGATACCCTAGAACAGAGCCTAGAGGTTACAAAGTAATAGATCTCATGTGGTTCAGAAACATGGTTTGATTGAGCTGTACAGTCTTGACCCCTGAGTGTTAAATTTTCATTTGTTTCTAGCATCTAAAGTGAGGTTTCATATTTAAAATCCCAAGTTGTAGTTTTTAGAAAACATCTAAGGCCTGACACCCATCACCTGTAGGGGAGACGGCGCCTGTGTACTCTGGTCTGCTGCCGTCCCCAGCATGCCTTAGTACTCTCCCTCCTGTGCTGAGTCTGGTTGGTACTTACCACCCGGCCCACTTATTTTCTTTATCTGTTTGTCTCCTGCTTGCATTCCATTCAAGGAATCCAGTGTGGCCACAGCACAGTAGGAATTGGAGCCTAACTGGACTTGTGGGCTGAGTTAAGAATTTGGGTATGTAATCCTATAGGCAAGGAGAGCAGGGTAGTGGTGAGATTTGTGTTTTTAAATAAGCATCCTGGGGCAAAGGGGGAAACAGGAAGATCAGGTAGGGACTAATGAACTAGTCAGGTGAGAGAGGAGAGAAGTGGACAGAGTGAAGGACTATGAAGAAGGTAAAATTGACTGAACCTGGTATCTCTAATCTTGACCAGTCTGATAGGTAAAAAGCTGTTTTAACTTGTATTTTGTTGATCATTCTTCAGATGTTCGACATCTTTTCTTATGTTTATTGCACATATTTATAATTTTTGTCTAGTTGAATTTCCTGTTATATAATTGGATCATTTCATCTCTTGGTGTGTTGGTTGAAGATAAGCAAAAGAAATGCCCATTTAAAATTTACCAGGCTGCCCTCCTCAAAGGTGATTCTACTTTACTCTTGCATAGGTGGTTCCTGTACCCTCAGCAGCTTTGGACATTGCCATAGGTGCTGGCAGGGCAAAAGCATCTCCTCTCTCTTATGGAAATTAGAGTCTTCTGTGTGTGAAGGTGAGGGTGGAGGTGGGCAGGCTGTAGTTGAAGATCTAAATATATGAAATCATACTATTTATGGAATGACTCTTCCCTCCCTGTTGGTATGTGATACCTGTTTGATCTTTCAATAATTGTTTACGTATGCTGGACTCTGCTTGGCTCTTCCTGATTGTACCTGTCTGTCTGTTTCCACTCTCATACCACTGGTCTTAATTAATCCTTGTTAATTCTTCCAGAAAATGCTTATATAATTATGTCATATTCTATAAGAAATTCTCTTATTTTCGTTACAATCAAATAAACTTGTGAATAAATTTGGGCAAAATTGATGTCTTTATAATATTGAGATTGTTTTTTTATTTAAGTCCTTTATATTACTCAGTAAAAGTAGCATTATTCTTTTAGATCAAATACATTCCTGGCTATTTTAATTTTTGTTGTTCTTTTTTTTTCTTTTTTCTTTTTAAAGATTTTATTGGGGAATTGGGAGAGGGGAACAGCATTGGGGATCGCGGAAGGAGAACAGACAAGTTGCTGTCCTTTTGTTCTTCACTCTAGTTTTGGAGGACATCGCTTCACTGGCCCATGTTGGTATTATCATTGCGCTCTTCCCCAGTGAGGCAGTCGCTCGCCAATCACTGGACGGCCACTCATGGCAGCTCTTGGCAGCTCACAGTAGCTTACGGGAGCCCACTGCAGCTCCACTGCAGCCTACGTCGTCGCCAGCGATTCGCAGCAGCCCAGCTTCAGGTTGAGCTGTTGTTCACCATCTGAGCTGTAGAGGGCGCAGCATCACTGGCCCTAATGTGGTATCTGAACCAGGGCCCTGGTGCTCAGAGCTGGTGTCCCAAGCCAACTCTTAACCAACGCGCCACTCAGCCTGCCCTAATTTTTGTTGTTCTTAAGAGAAGAAACCCATTCATACTACAAGTACTTTAAATGTAGAATATATTTCTTTATATATCTTCAATCTGCCCAGTTTAGTAACCTTAATTTTTTTAAGTTACATTCTCTTTTGATTCTCTAGGATTATCATCCCACTTTCAGTGTTTATACTCTTGCCTGTTTCATGCTGTATTAGTTATCTACTGTTATGTAATGAATCACCCTAAATCTTAGCAACTTTTAAACAGCAAAAATGTAGTATATCTCAGTTTCTGTATGGGTCAGAAATCTGGACTTAACTTCTCTGGGTATGCCTAGCTTAGCATCTGTTACGAGGCTGCAATCAAGGTGCCAGCCGGGACTCATCTTGAGGCTTGACTGTGGGGAGGATTCATGTATTTGTTTTCTGTTACTGCATAGCACATTTCCACAAGTTCAGTAGTTTAAAAACACTATAAATTATAGAAAAGGTACACACTTACATTGATAATATTCCCTATAAAGACAACTATTGGGTTGTCAGAAAAGTCATGACACATTTTTGCAACGAAAAACAGAAAAATATGTCATGACTTTTTCAACAACCCAATAATTTGAAAATAATGGACGTGCTAAAGAATATTTTTTTTTAGCTTAGTTGTAATCTTTTTCCATCATTCATTGTATCTTCATGTGGGTTCATTTCATACATTAATAAGCTCCCATTTTATAGGGAAGAAAACATGGAAAATTTAAGTTATTAGGTTGGTGTAAATGTAATTGCCGTTTTTTGCATTGTTGAAATTTGCTTTTGATATTGGAATACAGTCTTAAATGTGTTTATGTTATACATCATTTTAATGCTCATTTCTCGCTTTGTTTTTTTGCTAATGGCTTATTACTTGATGTTTATATGTATTTTAAATTATGGAAATGATGTTAGACAAAAAAGCAAATTTGAGCAATTTTCTT